CAAACCCCACACCAAAAATAGTGCCGACACCAAATGATGATCCAACAGGGAGATATCATGAGAATAGATCATAGAATAGAAAACATGAAGGCTAGAAATGCTCACACTGATGATTTGATTTATTGATTTGATACAGTAAAGTTTGAATATGATGCTACTTATGATGATGCGATTGTGAGATACATAAAGGGTGATCACTCAGTTCAGTTTCCTACTCACACTGTCTTTACTCCATATCCACATCAGAATTTGAATGTGGAAGAAGAAGAAGAAAGAAGAACAGAATTTGAATGTGGAAGAAGAAGAAGAAGACGATGATTGGTGATTTGTAGTTTGATCTTTCTTTTAGTTTATGTTTGTTTTAGCTTTGTTATTTTAGTATTTGTTTTTGTTATATTGTTGAGACTGTTTGTTGTTAGATTGTGAAACTCTATTTTTTTGTGTTATGAACTGTAAAATTGTAAAACTGTTTGTTATTTAAAATTCAATTTAGTTATGTTATTAGTTTTAGTATTTTGTTAAATGTATTGTAATTAACTCTTTCTCAACAGATTACTCTTTCAATTAACTCTTTCTCAACAGATTTTATATGTATTATGTGTAATTTAATATTTTAAGTATTGCAGTTTTTCATATTAGCACCTGCGCAATATTTCAGAGTTAAGTTTCAAAAATCAGAACCTTCAACAGGTAAGTCTTTTCTTTATGTATTTTATAGTTTCTTTCACCCTTTATTTTTTCAATTCTTCATGCTAAACCTTTTAAACATTTATAAAAATTTTAATTTGGGGGGGGGGGGGGGAAGAAAAATTCCTTTTTAAAGAAAGAAACTTAATTTTATTTGTCTTCACTTAGCTAAATTTTCAAAATTTTTAAATTTAACATGACATTTGGTATTAAATGTTAACTTTAGATAACTATATTTATGTTTCTAAATATAAAATAAACTTACGTAAAAATTTTCAATAATGAAGATGAATTTTAGAGAATAAGATATTTGATATAAGAGAATAATATTATGTTTTTCTATTTTAAGTAATTAAATTTTTATGTTTGAAGTATTAAAAATCTTAAAGATTCATGTAAGAAGAAAAGAATTAAATTTTATAGAATCTTTAAGCTAATATAAATTTGTTAAGTGAAGAAATGTGAAAAGTTTTTTACTTTAAGAAGATGATAGTGAAGTTCAAAATCATTAAATATTATTCAGATATAGTAATCCTAAAAAAAAAAAAAAAAGGAAAAAAAAAAAGAAAAAAAGAAAGAAAGAAAAGAAAAGAAAAGGTATTGAAAAGGATCCTGAAAAGAAAAAAAAGAAAGAGATAATATAGGGAGAAGCTTGAGGAGATGCCTAATTAAAAATTAGCTTAACTTGAATCAACTTAAAGAAGAAGGCTTAACTACATTTTCTAAACTTATATTTGATATTAAATTATTTAATAGTAAAGTTTCATAAAGTTCTTTTTCATATGAATACTCTAAGTTACTTTAATATGACAATTTGTAATTTTTCTTGAAAAGAATAGAGAATCAGAAATCTTAGACTTGATTGTTGGATATTCTTATACATTTAGAATTAACTGGAGTTGTTTTGAATTTTTCTTAAGTTATGCTATTGTACTTAGTGGATTAAAATATGAAAATCTAGAAGTTAAATTCTTTACCATAAGTCATCTTTTTGTAGTAGAGGAGTTACTTGAGGACAAGTAACATGTAAGTTTGGGGGATTTTGTTACACTAAAAATATATGCATTTTTAGACCTATATTTTATACTCATTTTTGGTGATATTACACTTTAATAGAAGATATTTTTATGTTTTTTTGCAGGCTGTTGATTTTTAGGACTTGAAGCAAAAAGAATGAAATTTGGAGTTAAAATGACGTTTTTAAAGAAATACTCAGCGCCGACGGCGCTAGAAGCAACGCCGACGGCGCTAGAAGCAGCGCAGGAAGGAGCGCCGCCGGCGCAGACTTACAGAACGGCTGATGGATTTTACTCAGTGCCGACTGCGCCAAAAGCAGCGCCGACGACGCCATTTGATAGAGAGCAGCGAAATTCAATACTAGACACTGGCACCGACGACACCAGAATGGGCACCGACGACGCCAAATTCAGTTCAAACCCTGTTTCTAGAAGATTCAACGAATTTGGACGTTTTTTTAAGGGTTTTTGGATGCACTTATTGGAGAACCTACTCTAAGCTCTATTTGGGGCCAAAATTGATCAAAAAATGCGCTCCTCTTCATTCTGACTTGCTCATTTTTGCCACACCTCGCCTCCATACACTTTTTCCATCTTAATTCCACCACCACTCAGAAGTTTATTAGTGATTTATCTTTAAGAGTTTAGAGTTTTATGGTGAGATTAAGTGTAAATTCTTCTCTAAGAGTGTTGGAGAAGGAAAAAAGTGAGAGATCTCTTTTTCCTACATTTCCTATGAGAGGCTACAAAAGATTTGCTTTGAGAAAGAGTTTCAAATAAGTGTTGTTTGTTTATTAGTGTTGTATGAACTTTATTTTATATATGAAATTTGTGTTTCGTCATATCTTTCTCATGAAGTCTGAGTAATTTTCTTTATCTTTATCCCTACTCTGAGATATGATAAAATGAAAAGATAATATGGGTGTGACAATATTAAAATATAAAATAATAATATGCTTTTTGATATGACCAATTGAATTATTAAAATGTGTTGTGAAACATATGATCCGGGAAATATAGTATGAGTTCTACAACAGAGTGAGGATCACATTTGATTCCATGAAGGAGTATTTTGTTCATGGAATTAAGTGCAAATAAAAAGAGAAATATATATTGATTGGGTGTAGAATTGAAGATTTTAAGGTGAAAGACTAAAATCTCCAATTCAATATTAGTGTTTAAAAATTAAAGCAAGAGTTAGCCTTCAGATGAAGGGAAGTAGAAGCTCTGGAGTGGGAGCCAGTATCTTCCTAGCCTAGCCACGAATTTAGGGACTAAATATGAGATTAGCAAATGATTTTCTATAACACTGTATCATGGTAGAGAATTAAAATTGCTCCTATTTGGCACAATATATATTAAAATCATTTATCTTATCTCATTTTAAAAATCTCATTGTAGTGGGAAAGATACTTTTTCACATAAGAAATCTTCATCACATAAAGATAGTTTAATAGTTTAATACTTACTGTTTAAACTTTGCATTTCAGTTTTTGATGGTAGTTAAATAATTTAGTTTTGATTGCATTTTACACATTCGAAATTAGTGACAACAATTTTGTTTGATTTCTATGAATTTTCTAGTTAATTTATTATTTCAAATTTAAACCTTCCCCGTGTGATCGATATTCGGGGCTTAAATAGAAAGTCCTTCATTACTTGATAACGATACATATACTTGCGTAGAATCTCAACATTAATTGCTTAACTTAATAAATTTCTTAATAATAAATATTGCATCAAGCTTTTGACACCGTTACATAGAGGAGTCAAACTTATATAAATTTTACACAACTATATTTTACCGGGATCACATACTAGCTTATATATGCATGGAATGTTGTATTTCACTTTTTAAAAATTAAAATGGTGTTATTTTTCATGTGATATGAAAGATTTTACATATTTAAATACATAAGAATCGGCTAATATGACAATGATAATTATTTAATGGGCATTAAATATCATATGAATTGTTTAATCTAACAAATTTTTTGGAACTCTTTCATCACCTTGTGAATCATAATGAAAAAGTGTAAAAAGTTTGGCCCCTCTCAAAAAAGATGATGGTTTTGCCTCTGTATATATGGGTTGCTTTATAAGCTTGTACGAAAAACAGCCCCTTTAGGGGACAACAAATTCAAACGCAACAACTAGCAAGCTACTAAATATTATTCTTTTGTATAACTGCAACCAAATTTTCAAGAAAAAGTACAATCCACTATGACCTATGCCTCAGTTTCATGAAACGTAGAGCTTCTCTATCACGCCATTCTAGGTTTGTTCAATCCTTGGGAACTCGATTCAACCTCTTCCATCATAGGTTACTGTCGTCAAGTAGAAGCTTCGACTAATAGTCACAGATAGGTAAAAAATCCTTGTTGTATTCCCTTCGATCTCTTCCATAACAGGTTGAGGTTATCAAGCAACCATCATTGATGGAGTTCATATGACTTTGTCCATTATATGTTAATGTTGTCGAGCATCTACATTTATACAAGCTAGAGCAGGTTACATTTTTAATGAATTTTTTTCTACTTTTTTTCAACACAAGTTGACGCCATTGAGCATTTATGGCTAGACAACCCAGGATTAATCTTACATCATTCATACATGACTACTGACTTATTTCATTACAGGCCTAACTTAGCAACCTAGAAAAAGTAAAACATTCTTAGAAATAAACTAGAAGTTGGGCAACGAAGCCTCGGTAGTTGGGCAACATCATCTTATAACCGCGCGAAAGCACGAAGTAACCACAGCTCAGAAGGAAAGACAAAAACAACCTCAGAAGCAACTTCAAAATTTTTATTACATCAAACAAAAGAGACATACAGACAATCACATTATCACAAGGTACAAATGTCACATCAGACAATTAAAAAACTACAAAGTCCAACATTCGCTAGTATAAACACTACAAGTCAGCTTAGCTTTAAATGTTGTTGCATCACCTCTTCAAAATTATAATACTTTAGCTGATTTTAAGGGGGACGAGATTCTCTAGATATCACCATTTCAACTATGCCAGAATATCCCCTCAGAAATCCTCATGGAAATTCTACTTCAAAAATCACCACAACAAACCGGGAAATTTCCTCTGAAAAGTGCGGCATCAACACAAAAAGT